GGGAATCCATGGCTGATATGTAGAACTGAATTGTATTGTAAAATTAAATTAAATTAAATTAAAAAACAAAAACAAACAAAAGAACATTAGACCATGCTTTGCATTAAAACCATCAAAAGCATCATATTTCATATAAACCCATTGAACCAAATGTTATACACTGCGGGAAAAATATGAAGAAAAACTCTTGGAAGCTTTGGTTTGGAAAATCAAGAATCTCATATAAAATAATCTTCCTTGCTCTACGTCATTAAGTGAATTCCCTTTATACTTAGCACTCAACATCTCCTCTTACACTTCTGCTTACATCATTATTTTGATGTGATTTTTCACAAAAAGCTTTCAATTTTTGTAGGTTTATTAAATTTTCAAAACATCCAAACCAGACCTGCCCTACAAGAAAGGGTGGAGGTCTAAATCTGAGGGAAAAAAAGTCTCAAGAATCTGGAGCAGTTTTTCTTTTATGTCCATGTATTGTCATTTGAAGGAATGCTGAGTTTCATTCTGACATTTCCTACATAGACACCACCCTCCTTGATCTCCTTACTCACTGCAGTTCTTTGTTCATTTTGATTTAGTACAGAAAGACAACTGATAAATGATGGGGTGGTAATCTTAACTGATTACTGCCTGATCCAGTGACCCAGGGACCCTTAGGTTATTATTATTATTTTACTATTTTCTTTAGGTGTAGCTTATTAGTGGAAACAGAGTTCACATTATAGATACTAGTGAAGAACTGCACTAAGAACATTACAGAAGTGGTTGTTTTAAAGTAGATGTAATCTTCTTCTTCTTCTTCTTCTTCTTCTTCTTCTTCTTCTTCTTCTTCTTCTTCTTCTCCTTCTTCTTCTTCTTCTTCTTCTCCTTCTTCTTCTTCTATGACTACAATTGCAAATGTGACTGTTCTTTACAAAAAGAAGTCATTAAAATCACCACCCCTTCCTATTCTGTATAAATACATCAGTGTTTTACTTGCAGATATGCATTAACCTATGTACACACGTGTTTATATGTATGTGTGTATATTCATACAGATATTCACACAGAAAAATGTATTTAGTAAAACATTTCTATTATATTCAGGAGAAGATACAAATACATTTTAAAGTCATTGACTTCCTGTGGAAATTGAGTTCAAGAGCTGTAATATTTGTCTAGATGATCCACACAAAGCAGCTGAATTCACAAGTGAGTAGATTACTCCTAGCATTATAAGGCAATACCTTGAGAAATATTTTATATTGTCTAATTTCATTTTCCTAATAGTCATTGGAGTTGAGCAAGTAATTTGTTTATGAATATGGTTTATATGAAATTTATATAAATGTCAAACCGCATTTTTATAGAATTATATTTTTCCAAACAAGGTAAAATTTTATAAATATCTTGCAGATGTTTAAATTTCAGTACTCTAAATATTTTCAACAATTAGTTTGCTCTCTTCTCTTATATCATTTTCACAGATTTTCATACAGGTGATTGGTTCATCATCTTTTAATGGTCCATCATTTACCTTATTGCCTTCATTAAAATGCCTAATTCACAAATGTCAATGGAATAAGATGCAGTATCTTTATAGACAGAGGGAGACTTACAAAGACCACATCTACTCTGAAATTCTCATTATTTAAAAAAACCTCACTCTTTACCTTGTTAATTCTCAGGAGAGGTCATGGATGGTGGACATAGTGTCTCTTAAAATCCAAGTTTAAATATCTTGTTTTTTGAACTTAAAGTTTTAGTTAAAAGTTTTATACTTGTCACACATATTTGACAAGGAGGTTGAGTCATGTCCAGTTTAATTTTTCCACTATACTTAGTTATTATAACAACAGAATCATTTTTATAACCTCCGGTCACACTGTACATTGATTAATTAAAGTGAATATTCAATAATTTTTTCCATTAGCTTCATGTTAATGGAAGTTACTGTGGTACAGAACTTTCTGTGTTATAAGACAGATTAGTTGATTTGAATTCTAATACACTTCATGTTTTGAGACAAAATTTAAAATGTTGTCAGGGTTTTCAAATTACATTTTATCTCTTCTTCTATTGGTAGATGGAACTTCAACTCACCACTGTAGATGGCTTGGGCATACTTTGTTCAATGCAGGTAGCAGACATGATTAAGAAAGTATAATCTTTGGTTTATTATTAAGGTACAGTTTCCAACTGACTTTCAATATTTTACTGCAAGGAAACTTTAGAGTTTGATAAAAGCTGAAAATTCAAATATGTGTTTCTCTAATACATGTGGTTTTAAGGAAAATATTAAAAAATGTGAATATTTTAAACTATTCAATAATTTAACTCAATTCTTTGTGATATCTAATGAATATCTAATGATATTTTCAAAAAAACTGGACTACTCTTCTAAATGGTAATATAAATCAATCAATACAATTTTATATAAAGATGCACCATATTCAAAATGCTGATAATGTAAACTGGTTTGATATATATTTTTCTTTTAATTGCAGTTTTATGAATATACTTTCCTTTCAAAGTCCTCAGGAGAATCATGCATAACCAAAGCTTTGTCAATGAGTTCATACTCCTGGGGCTTTCACAGAACCCCCAAATTGAGAAAATATCATTTGTTATATTTCTATTGGTCTATTTTGCAACTCTTGTTGGCAACATGATAATTGTGGTGACCATTGTCTACAGTCCTGCACTGCTAGGCTGCCCTATGTACTTCTTCTTGGCATTCCTCTCCTTCCTCGATGCTTGTGTCTCTTCTGTTGTCACACCAAGGATGATTGTAGATTTGGTTTATGAGAGGAAGACCATCTCTTTTGAATGTTGCATGACACAGGTCTTTGCTGTGCACTTTCTTACTGCAGTGGAAGTCATCATTCTGGCAGCCATGGCCTATGACCGCTATGTGGCCATTTGCAAGCCCCTACACTACTCTTTCATCATGAACAGGAGGCTCTGTGGTATTCTGGTGGGGGTAGCCTGGGCTGGAGGATTCTTACATTCTATCATACAAATTGCCTTCACATTGCAATTGCCCTTCTGTGGACCCAATGTCATTGATCATTTCATATGTGACCTGTTCCCATTGCTGAAGCTCGCCTGCACTGACACACACATTTTTGTCATTTTGGTATTTGCCAACAGTGGATCTATCTGCATCATTATATTCTCCTTTTTGCTTGTTTCTTATGGTGTCATTTTGTTCTCTCTGAGAGGCCACAGCTCTGAAGGGCGCCGAAAGGCTCTGTCCACCTGTGGATCCCATGTTACTGTTGTAGTTTTTTTCTTTGTTCCTTGTATATTAATATATGCACGACCTACATCTCCATTCTCTTTTGAGAAAAATGTGTTTGTATTTACAGATGTCCTGACACCATTGCTCAATCCTATGGTATACACCTTCAGAAATAAGGAAATGATAAATGCCATCAGGAAAATGTGGAAGAGGCTGATAGTGGTTTCTGATAAATATTAAAACTTTTCACTTACATGACTGAGCAGATGGCTCAGGGGATAAAATACTTGCTGAGTAAGAATGGGGACCTTCCTTTGGGTCCTTAGCACTCATGTACGGAGCCAGATATGGTAGATTGTCTTTACCCCCGTATTGCTGAATCAGAGGCAGGCAGGTCCCAGGGATAAACTGGACAGCCCTTCTCTAAATAGTACAGCTAGCTCAAGACTCAGTCACAGACCTTTTCTCAAGGAATTGAGATAGAGAGGGATAGACAAGTACAGTCAACACCTTCTCAAGGCTCTGCAGGCATATGCCTAGGTACCAGAACTTTCTTCAAGTTCGCACAAAGAACACACATACACACACACTGCCCCCCACAAGCACTCAAATAAACATACACAAAGAAATAAAATAATTACACTTAGCAAACTTAATGTAATGAACAGGGAAAATCCATATTTCTTATATAGGCCCTTCATGATTATTCTTATATGAACATACATGGCACATTCTATAGAGAGTGCATTAACACTGTATGTGAGGAATCCATTTGTGAGACCATACTTTCACTAGCAATTGAATAGTCAGATTGTCCTATGGAAGTTAAAATTGGTTTCAATGTATATACAAAGTTAGACATAGCATTCAGAAAGGACGCTGTGAAGCTTCACGTTAAATTTCACAGTTTCTGTATTGAAGATATTTTATGCACTTATCTATCAATAAAAACAAAAAGTGACAGAATTATAATTAAAAATGAAAAACAAATAGTACTATATCCTCTTTCAAAACTCTTATTAGTTATATAGATTTTGGATCTGGTTAATTTTGGAGTGCAATGTTTTTTATGTTTTTGAAAATATTTTTAAACAATAATGTTTAAAAAATAATAAAAAATGTAAAGTGAGTTAAGTCTATACTCTCATAAATCTAAGGAAATAATGGAAGAGATTTAGTTATTAGACTGTCTATTAAAATGATTTATGAAATACATGTGTCTTGAAATTGGGAGAAAAACTCATGCTGAGAACTTTCTAGTGCAATATAGGTTTCTTAGTGACATTGAGATTACATAAACTAGAAATATATAATCAGAAAGAGATCATGGACTCTGGCCTTTCAGCTGGGGAACATGCATGGGACCAAACTAGGCCCTCTGAATGCGGGTGACAGTTATGTGGCTAGAACTGTTTGGGGTGTCCCTGGCAGTGGAACCATGAAATGCATAAAATGGTTTTTTGGAACACATTCCCTAGGGTGGGATACCTTGTTCAGCCTTGACACAGTTGGGAGGGATTTGGTCCTGCATTGACTGAGTATGCCAGACTTTGTTGACTCCCCAAGGGAGGTCTTACCCTCTCTAAGGAGTGGATGCAGGTGGGACTGGGGGATGTGGGGTAGAAGAAGGAGAGAGAGGGGGAACTGGGATTGGTATGTAAAATGAAAAAAAAACTTTTTTATAGAGAGAAAGAAACCTTACATTATTTTTTTTCAAATGTAAAATGTGAAGATAGATTTATTTTTCACATGGCATCTCACCATATATCCCTGGCTGGCTCTGTAGACCCAACTGGCTTCAAACTCAAAGGGATCTGTCAGCCTCTGCTTTTGGAGTTCAGGAATTAAATTTACACATGGACATGCCCATAGGAGATGAGATTGTAAATCTTTAGAAATTTGTGGGATGTTGGATCTATTCTAGGAGGCATCACTGTCAGGTCAATCACTATTGGGTATATTCCCTTGTTTGTAAGTAGCTCTGACTCCTTTTTAATTGTTTTAATTTTTAAATATTTTTTTTTCTTAATAGCAGAAAGCTTTATTAGGAGGAGGGACAAAAGGACCAGGCCTGGGGAGGAAAGAGAGAGAAAGATGGTGGGATGGAGAGAGAGAGATCTGAGCAGAATGGGAAAGAGAGCAATTTTCAGTAATTTAGATAGAGTTTTCCTGCCTTGCCCACAGTCAGGACAAATCTTTGTCACCCGCCAGTAACACAGCAGCTCAGACCCAACCAAGTAAACATAGAAACTTATATTGCTTACAAACTGTATGTCCGTTGCAGGCTTCTTGCTAACTGTTCTTATAGCTTAAATTAATCCATTCTCACAAATCTATACCTTGCCATGCAGCTCGTGGCTTACCAGCATCTTCACATACTGCTTGTCATGGCGGGGGCTGGCAGTGACTCCTTCTGCCCTCCTGTTCTTTCTTTTCTCCTCTCTGTTAGTCCTGCCTATACTTCCTGCCTACCACTGGCCAATCAGTGTTTTATTTATTGACCAATCAGAGCAATTTGACATACAGACCATCCCACAGCACAGTAATTTTAAAACTATTTCTTACACTCTCTTTCCTAAGGCATTTTCACATGTTATCTTGCTATTCTATAATGTTTCTAACAGAAGCAAGTGATGGATAGCTAAGCAAAGCAGGTAGAAAAATGCCAAGAATGGTTTTAAATGACAGTCACGGATACAGAAATATTAGTTTCTGGTTGTTGACCATTACCTAGCAAATATTACCAGATATGAGATACAATTCATGCCATGTGATTATTTTGTGTTGGGGAACATGTATAAAATTTAAATTTAAAGAAAACAAGCCTTGTGTCTTGAATTCTTTTATTCTAGAAGCAGGGTTACTGAGAACTAGTATTTGCAGGTTTTGTTGCTGTTGTTTTCTTGTCAATCACTTCAGTTCTGCATTTCCTGTAGTGTGTTAATAGAGCAAGAGTACATGAAACAGTACTTTAAAATTGTTTTATGGTTTTCCATACCTGAAGGTAAGAAAGCTGTTTGTGCCTTCTTTGCCTTCCCCTATCCTTCCGTTTTTCATCCCTGATTGTCCCTCCTTCTCTTTATGCACCTCTCTTTGATGGTCTGTGGCCCAGGGTCCAGGCTGTTTTTCTGGGCCAGGTACAGGAAAGCAGTGCACTGGGGTGGGGGTGGAGGGGGTATGGACCACATAAGACCCACAGTCCTGCTGCTGCTCCCAGCTTCCTTGGCCCCATGCGACTGCCTGGCCCAAGAGGAGCTGCCCACTATGGCCCAGAAAGCTGTTAGCAGAAAGCAGAAAGGGCCTGCTGGCTCTGAAGCTGGAGTACTGAGCAGGGTCTGCAGTTTTGCTGGGATCACTCACTGCACAAAAGGAAAAGACTGCCCGCAGTGAAGAGATCCTTCAGGTAGTGTACTACCTGAAGAACTGGGAAGTCAGGCTGCAGAATGAAAACCATTACTCTTAGGTGTTATGTGGTTACACAGCACAACTTCTGGATCTTCTGAAGGAGAAAGAATTTTACCTTAGGACCTTTCATAAAGTGTTTGCTTTTCAGTGGTTGAATCACAGGCAAGTGGTTTGTGGCACAAAATACAATATGCTCTTTGTAGTGGATGTCCAGACAGGCCAGATCACCAAGATTCCTGTCCTATAATCTGGAAGTGTGACTCAGCAGGGCTGTGGTATCCATGCAATTGAGCAGAGCTTTTCTAGAACATTCCTAGCCACAGGAGGAAACAACCTTAAACAGTCTCGGCATCTATTGGCTGCCTACATTAGATCCTGTGTAGGTGGGTGATGATGGATGAAGGAGTATTTGTATTATTTGAATTTTGTATATATCAGCTATTTCCTGCAATGAATTTCATATGTGCTATTATAGCTCCCCCAATAGATTCTTTTTCCTAAGAACTTCTTACAGAGTGTTTGATCATTCATTGGGCATAATTTTTCCGTGTGTGTGTGTGTGTGTGTGTGTGTGTATGTGAGATATATATATATATATATATATATATATATATATATATATATATATATATATTAATATTGTCTTCCCCAAAATATTGTGATATTGTGTTCCCCAAAATGTTGTGCACCCTAATAAACTTATCTGGGGTCAGAGAAGAGAACAGCCACTAGGTATAGAGGCCAGAAAATGGTGGTACTCACACTTTTAATCCTAGCATTCCAGAGACAGAGATCTGCCTGGATTTCTGTGAGTTCAAGGCCACACTGGAAACAGCCAGGCATGGTAAATAGAGCCTTTAATCCCAGGAAGTGATGGCAGAAAGCAGAAACGTATATAAGGTGCAAGGACCAGGAACTAGAGCTGGTTAAGCTTTTAGGCTTTTGAGCAGCAGTTCAGCTGAGATCTATTTGGATGAGGATACAGAAACTTCCAGTCTGAGGAAACAGACCTAAGATAAGTCCTCAAAGACTTGGGAGGACTAGAGGGATGAGGTGGAGGATGGGGAAGATCTAGATGGGGAAGAACTAGATGGGAAGGGAACACACAGATGAGAAAGAACTAGCTGGGAGAATTGAGATAGCATTTAGAGAGCATAGCAGACAAATGTAAAGAGAGATCAGGCAAGAAAGGAGCTAAGTGTGGGAAAAGAACTGAAACTGTGCAGAAAGGTTTTTACTCAGAAGAATAAAGTGTATGGACTAAAGAATACCGTGTATATAGATTCATTTGATTTCATTAAGACCAGATTCCTCAGCTGCTTATAGATTCTTCCACTGATCCCTGGGAAAGGCTGTGGAGGGGCTAGAACCCAATAGTCTTTGATATAGCTGTCAGACTTGCTGTGAAAGTCTGGGAGCTTTGTGTGCATGTGAACTTGGGTGCTTGATGGTACTATGTCACTGATACTACTCAGAGTGAGGATTATCTGTATTAAGCTATTTATAAAAGAAACCATTTTGCTTGGAGTTCAGCTTTGGGACTAGCCTGTATTTTTGTGAAAGTCTGACATTATAGAAAGTGAAAACTTAAACAAATAACACCAGGAAAACACTGGTTAGAGTAGCAGCCTTGGAGGGTAGGGAGAGGCTTCATGCCAGGACTCCAAACTGACCCACCCCTGCCTGTCTTTCCCACCTGTGTATCCTCAAGTAAAAATGCCTGTATATGTGTTACTTCTGCTTCCTAACCTCCTATCCACTTAGCCCAGACCACTTGACTAAAACATCGGGTACATTTCTGGTCTAGGTAAAGAGTATCATCTACCCAGTCTCCTTCTGCCTCTGCTTGGGGTCTGATCTAGCCAAGATCAGGGAGTCTCAAGCTCATCAT